AGCAAACATGGATTGCTTCTACAATTCATTAACCAGCTGCTTTTAATAAAAACAAGTTTAAAAATTTGGTTTGATGCCGCCCCACTGTCGAATTGGTCTGTCCCTTTCTTTGTCTTCTTAGAACACTGGTTCTCCCCTTTATATCCACACCTCAGCCACCACATGTGTGGCCTGGAGGTATTGTGGTACATGTGTATAACATTCAGAGTAGTAGTAAATAGATTTATGCCTTTTTAGGATTAAAAAAAAAAAAAAAGAAAGCTCAAATATATGTTTCGAGGTAGTTGGTTAACCAGCAAGCAACCTGTGGCTTTTAAAATGACTCTCAAAAAGCTCTCAGGCTTTAGAAGTAAAGTGGTTACACCCAGGGTGATAGATGTTCGCGCTGGTTTTGCTGCCTACATAGAACGTTTTGACGTTTTCGGGAAGTTATATTAACACATAATATGAAATAGTCAAACGTTGCATTTCCTTCCCAGGTATGATACTGACACAGCCTGGCTTGAAATCTGTATGAAGAATTATTCTTCCCCTTAATTGTGGAGAAGAACAAAAGAGATTAATATATAAGGTGTCCTCAGTAACTGCGGCACAAAGAGAATGAAGGAAAAGCCAAACTGTTCAATACTGAAAGTTTTTCCACAGGAAAAAAAAATGAGAACACTGAAAGGTCATTTAGTTTTATAAGGCCCATGGATTCTTTTTGCTGAATCCTTGTTTACCCATAATAGTTGGGAACACATCAAAAGGTCTTTTCCTTGATAGGAGTTTTCTTCATGTGTTCGAGAATGTACTCTCAAATCCTCTTCTAGCTGACTCAGCCAATTGGAAGATTTGCAGAGCATACTTGTATTAGTTTTTTGCAGAACTAGCTCATTCATTGACTAAGGAGTTAGAGCTTGAAGAGGAGGGAGTATTGAAGTATGTTAATACTTCCTATAAAGAATCTTAAGAGAAGTTTATCCCTGGCTTTACTGTACTGACCACTATTAATAGCAGGGCTTCTGACTGACTTTTATTTCTTACAAACTATCTAAAGTAAAGTGATTGGAGGGAATTTTTAAGACCCTTAAGGTCTCTCTGTGAATATCTGAAAACTGAATAGCCTCCCAGTCAAGGATGATTTAAACTAAATTGATTTCCTTGGTGCTTAGCAAGGCTGGGGGTGAAAAGGAGGTGGTGGGCTCAAAGATGGAGAAAGGCTTTCCAGCTGTATCTCCCAATCTAGGAGCAAGTCCTCCAAAAAAACTGGACAGGCTTAAAGAACAAAGCTGTGTTGTGTCATAAATGGCTTAGTGTCATTCACTCAGGGTGTTACAAACTTAGAAAACCACTAATGGAGTAAAACTTTCTTGAAACTACAGGAGAGGAAAATCTTTAATGCTACTCTCTTTGGTTCTGTGGCTGGGCCTGAGAATTAAACTGACATAAGATATATTAATAGGGAAAAAGCACACAAATTTTATTTAATATTTTTACATGCACATAGGGGCCTTCATAGGAAAAATGAAAGCCAAAGAAGCAGTTAGGACCGAGAGCTTATTTGCTTTTTTTTTTCTTTTAAACAGAGAACAATACATTGGTAGAGAAGTGTCAAGACAAAGGAAAAGTGGTTTAAGCTTTTAGGGGTAGTAAATTGTGGAAAATTGCCTAGGAAATATATGGGTAAAACTAATAGATATGGATAATTTTAATAGTTTGGTTTGTGCAGACCCATTTCAGCATCCATTTCCAGTTTCCAATCATAAAAATTTTATTCTTTTCTTGGTACAGGAATGGCATCTTTCTCATTGGAAATTTTATGACTTGCTTTTAGGTAGAAAGGGGAAGGTCAGAGAGCCCTTCATGTGTCTGCTGTATCTCAAGTGCCTTTCACCTCAAAATCATCAGTATACAACAGTGGCATATTTTGGGATGGCAAGTTCTAAACCCCATTCAACCTAATGAAAAGTGTCTGCCAAAAGTCTAGAAAGAAAAGGTCATATTCGTATGTGAAGCATTACAGGTGATGTCTTGGAAAGCATGGTGAAGACATCATTCTTCAAAACTATACTAGAGATCAAAGCCAGTGCACTGAGACAAAAAAATAGGAGTATTTCAGAAGAAGAAACTATTGCAAAACTATTGCAGGTGATATGATTAAGTAAAAAATTCAAGAGAATCTATAGGCAAGCTATTCAGACAGCTCAGCAAGTTTGATATATATGAGATCCAAACTAAAGAAAAGTTACTGGAGATAGTTAAACAAAAATCTCAGTAATAAGCAATATATAGCACCTAGGAATAAACCTGTCATTATATGTATGGAGAAATTGTTAAATTTCACTACAGGTTTTGGAAAACTCCAAATATGAATACAATGTTCATGAATGAGAAATATCAGTGTCTTTGCCCACTCTCTAAACTCAGTGTAGTTTCAACTAAAATTCCAAGAGGGTTGAGCCTGAAATTCATATATAAGAGTAAATTTTAAAGGGTATGAAGAAGAAATCACAATATCAGATAGCAAGGTTCCTAATAAAACTATGATTTCATGATATCACAAGAATAAATATAAAATAGCCTGAAGCAGACAAGCTTTTATTAATATATGGAAACTCAGTACACAACAGAGTTGGTATTATTAATACTAGCTAGTGGAAAATAAACTTCACAAAATGCAATTGAAACTGTGGGTTATCCATGTG